TAACTTGAGGAAGTCTTTCATTATTAATATAAGTTTTTTTGTTTTTGCATTTTTGTAAAAACATACATAATTATTTTGGCGTCAGTTACATTATACATTTTCTCTGAGATTGTTCGGGTACTTCACGAAAACTTCACGAATTGGAAAATACGAGCGCTTTCCGATTAGGATGGCATAGGTACCTGGTGTACACATCGATCCATCACGTGAGAACATGTTTTATACCTTGTTACGGAACATAGGCAGCTAGCTGCCCAACTATTGCTTGAGAGAAAGAAAAGAACGGCTGCGGACGCTTTTAYATTATCGGCGCGCAACCTCGTTCCCGCGGACAAAGAAAGCCCTGACATTTTTTCTCAAACATTTCAGACGACTTTTTTTAAGGAATTTCCTCTGTTTGATATTGATCTAAACCTTGACACTACGGCTCAAAACAATGTAAACAACGAAAACAAAGAAGCAGAAAATCATTCCCAGAAAAGCAAGATTTGCTCAACAATCTGAGGGTGACCTCGAAGWAATCGTTTCTACATCTACTGCGACGGCAACAAAGTATCAAACAAAAACAAAATGGGCAATATCGGTATGTCCAATACCTGTAGATGTGTATAACCAGGCATGATGACTTCAATTTCACTGAAAATAAAATGAAATTCCTTGTCACTGTTAGCCTACATGTATATGGTTGATATAACATTTATTGCAAGATTTCTCAATCTCAAGGGACCCATGTTGCAGGTTCTCAGGTTTTTCGATCCTCGACTGGAACACGTCTGAAAAATTCTTTCTTTTTTTTAACTGGAATATAGTTGTACTAGTCATGTTAGTTTTTTATCGTAGCAATTTGTTTTGTTAATATTTTCAAGCCGTTTGTTAAATTTTAGAAACTGTAAAGGCCGATTTAGACGGCACAACGTTTGCCTACAACCATCGCATGCAAATCTGCTTAAAGGCAGATTGAGACGGTACAACTTTTGCCTACTGAACTATTGCATGAAAACATGCCTCAGTCATCATTACAACATAGCTACAACTGTCATAGAGATTAAAAACAATTATTTGATAACCCAACGACAGTTGTAGCCATGTCGTTAGGATGACTGGCATGGTGCATGCGATAGTTGTAGGCAAATTTTGCACCGTCTAAATCAGCCTTAAGGGACTGTGCAATAATTACCAGGAGGGGGCCGTAAAAACAGAGGGGAGGCATTACATAAAATTGATGGCAAGATAGGGGGGCTCAAAGTAAAATCACCTAATTAACAGAGGGGGGCCCTTAATTTTTATTCAAAATTTTCATAATTTTCGATGTCTCTCAAAATTCTGGAAATCGCATTCCCAAGAGTTATTTCTTTCAAATTTTGAAAAAGCTTTCTGGGGGAGGACCAGACTCCCTTAATACTCTCGCCTTTGGCGTTCGTTAGACCCCCAGATCCAAAATATATGTTGTAGTAACAACATAACTTCTGTTTTGTGGATTGCTAACAACTGTCCCATACGACTTAAGACATGATATCCAAACTTTGTTTCCAGTATTGAGGGGATTCAACTCTTTAACACCATGATGGTTGTCAAAATTCCTTTTCTGCCTTTCCTTTATCATGTCATCCTTGGCTTTCACAGTGATGTAATCAGGAACTGTAGNCCAGTCCTCGGCTAGCGCCTCGGACTGGAACTAATTGCAAGGACTTTGAAACCCCGTCAAGTCCTCATTGTCGGGCTTTAAACATTTCGTCTAAGCTGAGATGACACAATAGGCACAGTTGTTCTAAGGCGTCTTGACATTAACAGAACCATGCTCCAATGGAGTAAATCGGTAGGTTAAGAGTACTAGGTGAGGATCACTGCATTTCTTTAAAAGTGATTTCACAGTTTGGACAGCTCTTTCAACATGTCCATTGCTTTGTGCAAACCTAGGGCTGCTTGTAACATGAACAAAACCATATTCTCTAGCAAATTCTGCAAACACACTAGAAGAATATTGAGGGCCATTGTCTGTTACCATAGTAACAGGGATACCATGTCTGGCAAACATAGACTTCAAATGATTTATGATGCTCAATGATGTGGTGCTACACAACTTTGTCAACTCCACTCCACGTATATTAAGTAGTAGTCTGTCACTACCAAGTACATGTGTCCTTTGAACTCTAAAAGATCACTTGCAATTAAGTTTCTGCCATGATAGCTCTGGTAGCTCTGATGGGATTAGAGGTTCAGCACGATTCCTTGCATTCAGTTGACAGACGCTGCAATTTTCTATACACTCTTGTAACTGCTGAGCCAATCCTGGCCACCACACTGACTGTCTTGCTCTCTCATGGCAGCGAACAATACCAAGATGTCCCGAGTGGAGTTTATCAAGCATGTCCATTCTCAAAGAACTTGGAATTACAATACGACTTCCTCTCATCAACAGTCCATTTACAACCGTCAGTTCCGATGCCACCGGCAAATAGAGTTTGAGTAAGCCTTTAATGGATGACTTTTCAGGCCAACCATTCTTGCAATATTCAATCAATGACTTACAAGTATCATCTTCTTGTTGATGTAGTTCAATGTTTTTCAACTGCTGGTCACTAGCTGGAAAACTTGAATAGACCATGTCAACATAATCTTGACTAACCTCATGTAAATTGTCATTGTTCACGCTATTATTTGCAACAGGTGCCCTTGAAAGAGTATCAGCAATTACGTGATCTTTACCAGGTATATGTTTGATGCTGTAATGGAATCTCATCATTCTCATACGGAATCTCTGAATTCTAGGTGGAAGTGTATCTAGGTCTTTAGATCCAAGTAATGAAACCAGTGGCTTGTGGTCTGTCAATACTTCAAATTTCTTTCCAATCAGATAACTGCTGAAGCGTTCACAAGCCCAAGTCACACCTAGGGCTTCTTTCTCTATCTGTGCATATCTCTGTTCACAGCTAGACATAGAACGTGAATGATAGACCACTGGGCGCCAAGACATGTCATCCTGTTGTTGTTCTAGGACTGCACCTAGACCATATGCTGAAGCATCTGCAGAAACTCGTGTCTCTCTTTGAGGATCATAATGTGCCAACACAGCTGATTCACATGTAAGTAATTCCTTCAACTTTTCGAATGCCTGTTGCTGATCAGATCCCCAGGCCCAGACTCTCTTAGTACTGAGGAGGTCTCGCAGTGGTTTTGATGTTTCTGTCAATTTGCTGGTAAACTTGCTCAGTTGGTT